TACTCTACCCAGCAAAGCTATCATCTAGAACTGAAGGTCAGATAAAGAGCTTCTCAGACAAGGAAAAGCTAAAGGAGTTCATCACCACCAGACCAGCACTACAGGAAATGTTGAAGGGTCTTCTTTAACAAGAAGCTAATGAACAAAAGAATCTGATGAACTAAATAGATCCAGAAACATTGACGAATGTAACAGACGATCATATTTCAGAGGGAAGAGAGAAGAGGGAAGAGAGAAGGGGGAAGAGGGAAGAGGGAAGAGGGAAGAGGGAAGAGGGAAGAGGGAAGAGGGAAGGGGGGTGGAGGGTGGGAAGAGATTAACCAAAGAAGTTATATGCATATATGCATAACCCATGGACACAGACAATGACAGGGTGAAGACCTGGGGAGGGGGTGGGAGCAAGGTGGAGGGGATCAGTTGGGGGGGGAAAATGGACACCTGTAATACTTTCAACAATAAAGATAAATTTTAAAAAAGAATGACATAGTAGAAGTAAAAAATACATTGGAAGGAATAAACAGCAGATTAGGGGAAGCTGAGGATCAGATCAGATAATTAGAAGACAGGGTCGAAAAAAATCAATCAGAGAACCAAAAAGAAACAACAACTAAAAAACAGGACAGTTTAAGGGAGTTGTGGAACATGCAACATAATGATATTTGCATCATAGGAGTACTAGAAGAGGTAGAAAGTAAGAAAGGGTTAGAGAACCTGTTTGAAGAAATAATGGCAGAAAGCTTCCATGACCTGGTCAAGGAAAAAGTCACACAAGTCAGGAGCCACAGAGAGTTCCAAGCAAAAAGAACCCAAAGAGGCCCATGCCCAAACACATCATAATTAAAATGCCAAAAATTCAAGACAAAGAGAATCATAAAGGCAGCAAGAGAAAAGCAATCTTTTACCTACAAAGGAGCTCCCATAAGGCTGTCAGCTGACTTCTCATCAGAAACTCTACAGGCCAGAAGGGAATGGCATGAAGTATTCAAGGTCTGTCTCTTATACACATCTAGATGTGTATNATGAAACCAAGAATACTCTATCCAGCAAGGCTATCACTCCAAATAGATGGTAAATAAAGAGCTTCCCAGACCAAAAAAAAAAAGGTTAAAAAAGTTTATCACCACCAAACCAGCATTGCAGGAAATGTTAAAGGGACTGCTGTAATAAGAAGTTGAAATAGAGAGAACGAGAAACATAGGCATAAAGAAATAAAATGGCAATAGATAACTATCTATCAATAATAACCTTAANAAGTACCTATCAATAATAACCTTAAATATAAATGGATTAAATGCTCCAATCAAAAGGCATAGGGTAGCTGAATGGATAAGAAAACAAGACCCAAATATATGCTGTCTACAAGAGACCCACCTAAGAACAAAAGACTCACACAGGCTGCCTCCTGCATGCCCCCCACTGGGGATTCAGCCTGCAACCCAGACATGTGCTCCGATGGGGAATTGAACCGGTGACCTCCTTGTTCATGGTTGATGCTCAACTGCTGAGCCACACAAGCCAGGCTATATTGAGACAATTTAATAGAGTTTTTGGAATCTTTCTGTAGAAAATATAGAAGCTTATAGAAACTCTGATAATAGGTTGGTTTTTAAGTCTGAAAACAAATACAAATGTTTTGGGGGTTTGTTTGGTTTGGTCTATCTATGTGTATCTGAAAAGGCTTTTGAGGGACTTTTTTTTTTCCCTTTGAGGTTTATTAATGTTTTTTCAGCCTCTCATACACATATGGGTCAAGGAGAGAATTCAGAATTTTGATTTCCTTTTGTAAGCCTTTTCTTCCCACAAATATCACGACTAATTTCTGCCAAAGTGGGATTTTTCCCGGTTTTTCTCTTAGATTGTTTGGATCATCCTTTCTTCAGAATAGAGCAGGAAAACATTAGTTTGGAGGTAATCTCCGGTCACTGATTCCAAATTATACTAAGTGATACTATAGTAGTTTAAAACAAGCTAAACAGAGGTGGAACCTTCTTCTTGACCATTTGACTGCAGATCCCACAGAGTGAGGTCTAACCTAAAAAACAGGAGAACCCAGTGGGCGTGGCTCAGTGGTTGAGCGCTGACCTATGAACCGAACCGGGAGGTCACAGTTTGATTTCGGGTCAGGGCACATGCCTGGGCTGTGGGCTCCATCCCCAGCAGGGGACGTGCAGGAGGCAACTGATCAGTGACTCCTCACTGATGTTTCTCTCTCCCTCTCCCTTCTTCTCTCTGAAATCCATTAAAAAAAAAAAATTAAAAAATACAAAATACAGGAGAGCTGATTTTTCTCAGGTATAGGCAGTAAAGGTTAATAGACAGGCAAAAAACACTTTTCCTGGTCCCTACCTGAAGAACAAAGCATTTCTGAGCTCGGGTGTGGAGCCACGGCATCTTAGGCGGCGGAAGGGAGATAAGAAGGAGGAGGGTCTGAAAGGAAGGCTTTGTGTGAACCGGTCCACATCCTGCCCTCCACCTCCACTCTTCTTAGGATCTTAGAAACTGTGCCAAATTGCTGCACAGGAATGGCCAGGCTCAAACATTTTAAATCAGCGCTTGCTCCTCACTAGAACTGTTTTTCAGGAAGGAAGGAGGAAAATGCCCATTAGCCAGGAGCTGGGAATCACCTCACCCTCATTGTTTAAGACACCAAAATTACACACTTTCTTTTATAACTTATCATACCTAAAAAAAACACACCACACCCCTATGAGATTTGCATTGGGAAGCAGTGGGAAAAGTGAAACTTGAGAAGGCAAAAATGAGAAAAACTAATGTTGGCAAAAATGAGGGGGATCTTATAAAATAGCAAACTTCAAAGACACTATTTAATGGGCATACCAATAACAAAATATAGACAAATATGCATTTGAAAACAGAGGAAATCACATTATTGTTTGAGAGAAAAGGTGACATCCAAGATTCCTAAAGGAGTAATAACATACATTCAATGGAATAAAACATTAAGTTTCTTAATTAGTTGAGATTTTTTTCACTTTCAGAACAGTGAATCCTCTACTTCGGACTGTGCAAAGGCTGATTTCATCATTAAATTGAGATGAGTTAAGAGTTGGACCTAAAAGCACATTTTAGTGGCTTAGACATGGTGACTTGAGGTGAATTGGGGGCAATCAAGATGACTCACTCCCAAGCCTCTGACCTGAGCAGCAGATGAACTGTAGTCATCAATTACTGAAAAGGGGAGACGAAGGAAAAGCCAGGCAAACAGATTTAGAATTCAATTTAGGACATCCTGAGCGCGAATTCGTTAAGAAATCTAGGAGGATGTGATAAATGTGTAATTTAATGTGAGTCTGGACCTAGTCTGAGGTCGAATATATAGGTACAGAGCTTGCCCAAGATCAGACAGTTTCTGAGCAGCAGTGGGGACAGGGACAAAACCTTCTGTCTCCTATTTGTGTTTCTTTCTCTAAGATATGAAGAAACCAGAAGAGTGGGAATCTGCTTTAAATGTAGAATTCCACAACTATCTTCCCTCTACAAATATGGCCAGAGTAGAAAGTCTAGAAATATTATATGTTTCAACTACAGTGCTGAACCCAGGACCAACTCTTCCTCCAAATACTAAAATGTGTGTCTCTAATCACTTTACTTAAGCCAGAAAATTTCTGTGACTCTCTTTCAAACCTGGCTTCTGCTAAGTTCCTACCCACTGTCTGACAAACACATCTGAGTGTCAGTGAATCTCAAAGATTAAATTTTCCCATCAGACTTCTAAGTTCCATGAAAATTAAAATCTGACCATGTAAGTCTGTCATTCAGTTCATGGCCGTTGGTCCATTGTTTTGGTCTGGGATTGTTATTTGTTTAATAATGAGAAATGCAGGCAGAATGTCTATGGTGAAAAGGAAAGAAAGAGAAAATAGGGGAGATGACAAATATGGGGTAGGTGACATTAGAAGAAACCCCAAAAGGGACTGATAAAGAACACCCAGAGACCAGAAGTGAAGGCAAGCAAGCGTTTCAAGGAAGGCTTGAAAGCAAAGCAGGGGAAATAGTAGCTAGAGGCAAAGTAAATGGGAAAACCTAAAGAATACTCAAGTTTTCCAACATTGAAGGCATTGGCGAGCAAAGCAGGGCCATTTCAGCACAAAATCCAGACTTCTCTAAGCTGAGGTGAAATCAGGAATGTGAAACTTGGAGAACTTGCTTGGGAACACTGGTTCTATTAGTTTAGATCCAAAGAAGGGGAGAGATAAGACATTAGCCATGGAAGAGAAGCATACGTAACACAATGAAAATTCCATAGCATGTCCTATATTAGTTGTGACTAAGTTTGGAGTGGGAAAACCACATTCCTCAATTCTCAGGAATGAAAGGACCTTAGAGGTTATCAAGAACAATGCCCAGCTTCTGTTGTAAATCCCTAACACTATGACCACCATCATCTCTGTTCCACATCCAGAAATGGTCTCTAAACTGGAAGAATGCCCAGAAACAGACCTGTGCATTCCACTTTCCAACAGCTCTACCACTTAGAAAATGTCGCCCTCGTCTGTCCCACAGATTTCTACACTTTGTTTTATCCATCTATCTGGCTGGTTCTGGTTCTTCCTGAGGACACCACATCATACATCATGCCAAGCAGACCAGGATGGCTCTCTGGATATCCCTCTCCCTATCCTACAATGTTTAGTCCAAAGACGCAGTGATCTCCTCTACACATTCACTGGATCATCCAGACTCGACCCAGTTGCCATCATCTCTCTGAAGTCTCCAGAATAAATCACAAGCAGAGCAGAAACATGATCTCCTCCCTTTCTTGGCCTCCTTTTTTGGGCCAGGGCCCTTTCCTATATTCTGTGGCTCTCCAGTTCTTGGCCTAACCTTCCCCTGTCCAATGATGATCCAGTGATGACTACCCACAGATGAAAGACACACACATGAGAAGGAATGCTTTTTATGGGGAGGGTGTTCCAGGATGGGACAGGAATTGCTCCAGGAGGGGATAAGGTTGGTGATATTCAAATTGCAGAGTAGCTTTAAGTTTTTGTAAAAACTGACAGGTTGGAGTCAAAGTTGGAGTCCTCCTTTGTATTGCTAGAACTGGTTCTTTTCACAAAAAACTTCAGGCAACACTTTTGATCATTAGGGCAGGTTAAGTATTGAATTTCATATTTTCTGCAGGTGTTTGTGCACGTGCCACGGTAAAGCTGGCATGGAATCCACTGCTTCTGGCTCTTGCCAAAGTAGGATAAGAACAGCTCACCTGGGAAAAACATAGCCAGTTTAGTTCTATGCAGCAATGAAAATAGAAGCTAGGGAGCATGATTTAAAGAGAACAAACCCTGAGAATATTAAGAGCACGGGATCTGAAGACAAAACCACCTCAATTCATATCTGGGCTCTGTCATTATGGTTCTTCATCCTTAAGCAAGTGACTTCAGTTCTTAGGCTCACCATTGCATTAATTTTACAGTGGGCATAATAATTAAACCAACTTAACATTTTTATGATGATAAAATTAGCAGATATAATATGCTGAGAAAAGTAATAAAAAATAAATATTAGGCAGTGTTGTTGCTATGGAAGTCTTTTCCTGGGGTTCCCGGGCTTCAGGGGCTGCTACTGTGAACACCTATTGGACATGTCCGAAGTGCTCCTACAGCTGTGTGCTCCTCACACACAACTCTCATCAGAGACAGCCAAGATCTGCAGTAAGGCAGACATATTTGAGCCCCTGCATTGCCTTTGCACTTTGAAACACTTGAGCAAACACTTACCATAAGCACTCACTGTACAAATCTCTACGCATATTTTCTACATATGACTAAAGCCCATTTGTGAATATTAATAGCTTTGTATCAGTCATCCAGATATATCCGTGGGTATACAGGCTCTTCAGTTGAAAATAGTCTAGTAACAAAGCTCCTGACAGTCAGCATTCTATAAATATTAGTCATCAATAATAGTAGTTACCATAGGAACTTTCAAAGACAAAGGAGGCATTAGGAAGGAAATAATACAACCACTACCATATATTTGGCATCTTCTATGTAGCAGGCACTTTACAAATAGTATCTCACTGAACCTTTGCAAAAGCCTGCTGTTCTCCCTGTTCATTAGATGAAAACACTGAGGCTCAAAGAGAGACCTTGTTCTGTCCATATTTCCATAGCTTGTGCTTGACCAAGCTAGGAGTCAAGTTCTGGTCTACAGGATATTAAGCCCATCCTCTTTCCTCTCTGTGTCACATGCCTCTCTCTATGATGGAATTTCTAGGAGAGGGTGGCATATTATTGCATAATGTCTGTAGGCACTGGGCCTTCTGCAGTTTTCAATAGACAGTCCAAAATTCTTAGTGTAGCATTCAAGAACCTTTTCAACCATCCACCCACCCTCTTATTCCACACCCATTTATGAGCACTCACTCTGTGCCAGGCCATGTACTCAGTGCCAAGCATGCAGAGGTCTCAGCGCCCACCCACATTAGTAAAAACTAGACAAAGCAAGTCTGATGCTATTTCCTGCATGGGAAAAAACACTTTGTTCATCTTTTGACAAGACAAAGTAAAATTTCTTAAGTGAAGTCAGAGAAAGGGACAGGAAAGAAGGCAGAAAAGAACTGTTTCAGTAGCAGGCACCCTATGGCACTTAGTTGCTGGTGTATGTGTGCACTGCCCCAGAAACCCGCACTCTGCTCCAGAGGCACTCAGCTCTGCCACAGCAGCCACCGGCTGGTCACCCAGTACAGTGGCGCGTCTCCATCCCTGCGCCGGCGTCCTGGTCCCACTGCCTTTCCCACACTCCTCCTCGCCCTCGCCATGCAACCCGTCTTTTTTCTGAGAACTGCTACTTATGAACCTGTCTACTTGTGGGAGAGGGAGATCTGCAGGGGGCCTCCCCAGAGCGACACCCACACTCTCTGGTTAACGTCTGAACTGGGGAGCTTTTCTCCTCAGCACAGCGGGTGGGAGCCCAGGCACCCAGGATTTCCTCTCTGTAGCCACCAGAAGACGGGTAGGAGCAGAGATAACAAGGAGAAGGGCCGGGCAGGCTGCCTCTGCCTCACTCTTTCCACACGGAAAGCAGGTCAAGGCAATCCCAGGAGGACTCTGCTTAAGGTGGCTAAACAAACAAACAAACAAACAAACAAAGGGTTTTGTCATAGATATTTATGACTTCTCACTCCTGCAGCCGTTCCAACCCTGCACTGCCTTGTGTCATGACAAACTGTAACACCCACATCAAGTTACTGTCACCTTTGATGATCCCTCATCTTCAAAATGAAGTCAGAGGAGACCAACTTTGGAATCCCAGTATTGCCTCTGACCCTCTAGACCTAGTCTCCCCGAGGGGGAAAATGGGAATGGGAGTGTTTGCACCAGAGCAGAAAATCTCCGTTGTGTTTGTAAGGAGGAGGTTAATAGGTGTGTCATACTTTGTAATAACCTGGGGGATTTTTAAGTATCCTCACATCAAGTTTCCAGAGATTCTGATTCGTGAGGCCTGGGGAGAAGCCAGGGCAAGGGTGCTTTTCTGAGAAAATACTCGTGGGCTTCTGCTGGAAGTGACAGGCACAATCCTGCCTAATCTCACGCTCACCCACAGGCACTGCCCAGCTCACTTTCCCACACTGGACTTGTTTTAAGAGCAAATGAAAATATAATAAATTTAAAACCAAAACATATGCTCTAGACTCTCTCAGCTCTATCCAGAGACCAAAATCAATGTGAGATGATTTCTCTGCCATCTGTGCACCCCAAAGACGGTTCTTTCCCATCTTCCTTCTAAGGTTCTTCCTACCTTTGTGTATTTATTAGGTACAAGTCCTTTGTAAATTCATTCATTTAATAGACATTTACTAAAACCTACTATGTGCAAAGCACTCAGCTCAACACTAGGAATACATAAATTTAAAAGGCAGAGTCTTAGCTTTCAAAGGGTTTAATTTTATATGTATATGTTTGGGGGAAAATGACTTTGATTGTCCCAGAAAAGGTTGCCTGGAACAGTTCCTGCCCATAAATCCCTCCAGGTGAAAGTATTAAGTGGTTATTAAGGAAGCAACACTACGTACAACTTTGAAGCACAGAGTTCTGGCTTCCTCTCCATGTAGCTTTTTGCAAACCCACCTGCGGTTTTTATTACTATTCTGCTGTGGGAACCGAGCTTTCCTGGACAGGGGAAGAATTGTCTCTCAAGTAAAGAAGATAAAACGGGGTAAGAAATAAGGGGAAGGAGTATGTGGAGTAAGGAGAAAGTGGGAAAGGGGGAAGGGAGAGGGCAGAGAAGGCGGGGAGAAGACACTAGACACAGTAACTCTGAACTCAGTCCCCCAAAAGGAGAGACAACCTTGGTTTTCTATTGGGCTGGGCTGAGACTATCCCCATGTCTCTCTGCTTGCCAAGGTTTGACAGAGACGTTGAGGATATGCCTGGTCTCTGATAGCATTTATTCCCTCTGTTTGTAGTTATATGTATCGTTCTTCAGAGCCCCTGAAATCACTAAGGAAGCTTTAAGAGTTGAAAGTATTACAGGATGTTCCTCATCCAGCACCCATTCTCCCCATCTCAGCAGCCACAGCTCTGCTGTGACTGATCTGATTGTCTTACTCCAACGTAATCACCCCCAAACCGAGGCTACGCCAACCACTTCCCAGATAAACCCCACATGTGTCCTGCTGGAACAGGACACCTGCTTGAGCCAAATACCTTACTCCAACTCCCAGCCCTATCTCTCCTGGTAACCACCTAAGGTTCACTTGTAAAACTTAAGACAAGCATAACACTAGCCAAACCGCACAATCCTAATCCATGACATGGAGCCGAAACACAGAGCAACTACAAACTCCACTCTACCCAACCCCTCCCTCAGTTCCATTCAACGAAAAATACCATTCCCTCTCCAGACTCTATGAAAACATTAGTCCAGCCCAGTTTTATAAATAGAATTGCTCGTCCTCTCCACATCGCTTCTCATTTTCCAATATCACTCTAAAGTTATACGCCATCCCCACCACACCTCACTCTCCTAACTCCAAACTACTGTTGATTTCCCCTGCAGCTCTCTCCCACCTGACGCACGAGTCAGGCTTCCATCCCAATAACAGCACCATCTAAAGCTTTTCATGTTTCCACACTCCACCATCCCAGGAACGACAAGCTCTCAAACTTGTCTTGGCCGAGCAGAACCAAGGGAGATCTTAACACTAGATGGGCCTTGGGATTAACATCCACACGCTCCCTGAGACAAGAAACGGCTTCAGGGAGTGCCTACTGTGTGTGGTTCTCTCAGAGGTCACCAATACACCGATGCACCTGTAAGACCCCAGAACTTTTGAGAGAGGCCTGAATTACCTGGAGTCTTATGGACCAAGATCAGAAGGATGGAAATGGTCATTAAATAGGGCTTCATGCCTGGTATGTCCTGAGGTGATGGAAGGCTGTGTAGCAGGAGACGGAAGAGAGATCATTGCAGCAGGACGTGTCCTGCCTTAATTAGTTCTGGAAACGGGCCAGGGTTGTGTGCAGTGAACTAAAAGGGGCCAGCCTGGCAGAGGGACAGTATGTGTCCTAGACCCCAGCTGGGCGCCCTAAGGGGGAGGGTTGCCAGCAGCGCCGTGCCAGGAGGGCCTTCTTCCCAGTGAGAAGCGGTTAGGGCCAGTTGACATGCTGTGGGAGACCCATTTGAATGGATGCATCAAGCGATCAGTCAGTCAAACAGTGAGAAAACTAATACATAGTTTAAGAAATAAAGAATATTTTAAAACACATTTGTCTTTATCTTCCTGACCGTGGTCCTGTACCGGGGATCACGGACCAAGGAAACGAAACAAAACGAAAACAAAAAGGAAGAAAGAGAGAGAATGAAAGAGCAGGTGGGAAGGAGAGCGGAAGGGGGTGTGAATGGAACAGGGAGGGGGAGGCGCGAGGCAAGAACGCGGGTGGCACGGACCGTGCACCTCCCGCGTGTCAGTGTCCCCGCTGAGCCCTATGCAGGGGACTGACCGCTCACTGCCACTCTGCGCAGTGGGGCGGCATCTCCTGCTCCCCGGGCGAGGGTGACAGGGTGGAGGGACGCTGGGGCAGGCCTGCGCCACACACCCGACAGGGCCCAGGGCCTGGTTAGAGATGACACCTGCCCGACGGCACAGGCCTTGGGCCGGTTCATTCCCTCTGTGCGCGCAGGGGCAGAAAAGGAAAGGAAGGGGCCACAGTCACACTGCTAACAATCAGGAACCGGTCACTGCCAGGACAACGCGCTCAGTCTGAGGCATTCCGCATCGGCCCCTTGAGAAATGGGAATAAAGTGGGTTTTTAGAGGGTGCCACCACATTGGCTTTTTCCCTAGTGAGCTATGCAGGAGGTGGGTGGGTGGCATCCAGTCTTCCGAATGAAGGTGGGGAAGTCAGTGAAAAGGCCCCTTGGAAGATCTAGGAAGGCTTCCCACAGGCTGCGGCGACAAGGCAGGTGGCGCCGGCGAGCCCTCCCCTGAGGCGCCTGCAACGGAAACGTGAAGAGGCTTGACCCTGAATTCAAGGCAGAGCAGAAGTGAAAGGCAACCTATGAAATGGGAGAAAATATTTGCAACCACGTATCTGATGAGGTTACTATCCAAAGCATACAAGGAACTCATACAACCCGATGGCAAGGTAAATAAATAAAAACCCAACTTTAACATGGTAGCAGGCCCGAATCGGCACTGTGCCAAGATGAGTCAGATGTCAGGATTTTCCGACAAGAACAGTTTCTTCAATTACAGTTTACATTCAGTATTATTTTCTATTCTTCGCAGGTGTACAAAATAGTAGTTAGACAACCATATGCTTTACCAAGTGGTCCCCCTGATATTTCCAGTACCCCTCTGGCACCGTACATGGTTATTACAATATTACTGAGTATATTCCCTGTGCCGTACTTTACATCCCCATGGCTATTTTGAACTGGGAATCTGTATTTCTCAGTCCCTTCTCCTTTTTCACCCAGTCCCCCAACCCCCTCCCCTCTGGCAACCATGAGTCTGTTCTCTGTACCTATGAGTCTGTTTCTGTTTTGTTTATTTTGTTCATTAGATCCCACATGTAAGTGAAGTCGTATGGCATTTGTCTTTCTCTGACTGCGGTATTTCACTTATCATAATACCTGCTAGGTCCATCCATGTTGTCACAAGAGGTAAGGTTTCTCTCTTTTTTATGGCTGACTAATATTCCGCATCTTCTTTATCCCCTCCTCTATCGATGGGCACTTGGGCTGCTTCCATATCTTGGCTACTGTAAATAGTGCTGCAATGAGCATAGGGGCGCATATATTCTTTCCAATTAGTGTTCTGGGTGTCTTCGGGTACATTCCCAGAAGTGGGATCACTAGGTCATAAGGCAGCTCCGGTTTTAAGTTTTTGAGGACCCCCGTACTGGTCTCGCCAGTGGCCGCACCAGTCTGCCTTCCCCCCCGCAGTGCACCGGGTTCCCTTTCTTCACCGACACTCGCTGTTTGTGGATTTAGTGATGGTGCCATTCTGACAGGCGTGAGGTGGTGTCTCACTGTGGTTTTAATTCGCATTTCTCTGATGATCTGTGGCCTTGAGCACCTTTTCGTGTGTCTCTTGGCCATCTGTATGTCCTCTTTGGAGAAACGTCTATTCAGGTTCTCTGATCACTTTTTAATTGGATTGTTTGTTTTTTTGGTGTTGAGTTGTCTGAGTTTTTGATAAATTTTGAATATTAGAATGTATCATTGGAGAATTTCTCCTTCCATTCCGTAATTTGCCTTTTCATTCTTTTGATGTTTCCTTTGTTGTGTGAAATCCCTTTAGTTTGATGTAGTCCCATTTGTTTATTTTTCCCTTTGTTTCCTTTGCTCCAGGAGGCATGTCAGAAAAAAATGTTGTTAAGAGAAATCTCAGAGATTTTACTGCCTATGTTTTTTTCTAGGAGTTCTATGGTTTCAGGTCTTACATTTAAGTCTTTAATCCGTTTTGAGTTTATTCTTGTATATGTTGTAAGAAGGTGGTTTAGTGTCATTTTTTTGCACGCATCTGTGCAAGTTTCCCAATACCATTTATTCAATTGACTGTTTTTACCCCGCTGTATGTTCTCGCCTCCTCTGTCAAATATTAATTGACTATATAGGCATGACTTTATTTCTGGGCTCTATTCTGTTCCATTTATCTGCATGTCAGTTTTTATGCCAGTACCCTGGCCTTGTAGTGTAGTTTGACATCAGGTAGCGTGATCCCTCCCACTTTGTTCTTCTCACTCAAGACTGCTGTGGCTATCCGGGGTCCTTTGTGGTTCCATTAAAGTTTTTGGGTTATTTGTATTTCTGCGAAATACATCAGTGGTATTTTGATAGCAATTGTGTTGAATCTATAGATAGCGTTGGGTAGTATGGACGTTTTAATGATGTTCATTCTTCCTATGCTTGAGCATGGTATATGCTTCCACTTATTTGTATCTTCTTTATTTTGGAAGACAATATTTTAAGACGTCAATATAATCTCTATCAAAATCCCAGCAACATTTTTTTTGGCAAAAATAGAAAAATTCATTATAAAATTCACATGGCTCTCAAGGGATCCTTAATAGCCAAAATAATCTTGAAAAGGAACAAAGTTGGAAGACTCATACTTTCTGATTTTAGAACTTACTACAAAGCTACAGTAATCAAAAGAGTGTGGTACTAGCATAAAGACGGACATATACTGTGACATATGGTTACTAGACTTATTGTAGTGAACACTTTGTGTGAGGTATAGAAATGTTAAATCACTGTGTTGTACACCTGAAACTAATATAATATTGTATGTCAACTATAATTAGAAGTTAATTTAAAAATACATTTTAAAAAACAGACGTGTAGACCAATGGAATAGAATAGAGAGCCCGGAAATATATCCTCACATAAATGTTCAAATGATTTTCACAAGGGTGTCAAGGTCATTCAATGGAAGAAAGAACAGTCTTTTCAATAAATGGTGTTGGGGAAACTGGGTATCCGCATGCAAAAAAAATTAAGCTGATCCCTACCTTATGCAAAAATTAACCCAAATTTGATTTTTAAAAATGCCTAAGTATAACAGCTAAAACTATAAAACTCTTAGAAGTAAAGAGGAAGAAAATTTCATGACATTAGATTTGGTGATGATTTTTTTGGATATAACACCAACAGGACAGAAAACATAAGAAAATAAATAAGTAAGACTTGATTAAAATTTAAATTTTTTTGCATCAAAAAACACTATTAAAAGAGTGAAAAGCCACCAATGAGATGGAAAAAAATATTTGCAAATCATATACGTCATAAGGGATTAATAGTCAGAATATACGCCAAACTCCTACAACTCAACAAAAGAAAATAACAACCCGACAGATGGGCAAAGAACGTCAGTGGATATTTATCCAAAGAGGGTGTACAAATGGCCACGAGCACATGAAAAGATTCTCAGAACCACAGATCATTAGGGAAATGCAAACCACAGTAAGATACCACTTCACACCCATTAAGATGGCTCTTTTTAAAAAATAATTAAATAAATAACAAATGTTGGCAGTGATGAAATGGAAACTTTGTGCACTGCTGATGGGAATGTAAAATGACGCAGCCCCATGGAAAGCAATATGGTTCTTAAAAAAAATTAAATATAGAATTACCATGTGATCTAACAATTCCACTTTTGGTTGTATAATAAAAAAATGAAAGCAAGAATTCAAACAGGTATTTGTACACCCATGTTCATAGGAACATCAATCACAACAGTCAGAAGGTGGGATAAACGTATGTTCTGCGTGCATGCAATGGAATATTACTCAGCCTTAGGAAGAAAGTTCTGGCACATGCTACAACAGGAACGAATCTTGAAGAGATTATGGTAAGTGAGATAAGCCAGTAACAAGGGTACAGATGTATGCTCTCAGTTACACCAGGCGCCTAGAATAGGCAAACCCGTAGAGACAGAAAATAGAATGATGGTGGCCAGGGTCTGGGAGGGGACAGGAAGGGGGAAAGGCAAGTTAGTGTTTAATGGGTGCAGAGTTTGTTGACTACCACTGTTATTCTAGTCAAGTGTAACTGTTTGAATCCAGCTGCCCAGTGGTCAGATCCTAAATAAGTAGTGAACGTGATGGCCTCAGGGTCACAGAAGACACTTGGCCTGGGTCTGCTGCATCTGATATTTCAGTTCCCGGGGCTGACGCGTGGATCTTGTATGAGAGGCTCACAGGGAAATATAAAAGCACATTGCGTGTTATATAAAAGTCTAACAGTCAGTCCTGAGAGGTTGTAGAGGATTACGTCCTCCCAGATATAAAATCAGCCAAGCACCAGCGCTCACAGCTACTGTGAGAGCTTTGAGATTAGCCACCAGCCCTAAAGTGAGTTTCTACACCGACAGTCAACACGTGTGTGAGGCCCGCAGGC